TCTTTCTTACTGTATAAGATAATTCAGGTACAGTCTTTTCTTCTCCAGAGTCTTTCTGATAATGATATTGATGATTCATTTTTCATACATTCCATGTTAACTGTGAATGTATCACGTCTGTCTGTTCATCCTTCTCCTTCACATTTGCAGGTTCAGATGTCAGATCATGATCCAGTCTGTTACGTGGCTATGATTCTGGTGGCTGTGTTCTGGTGGCTGTGTTCTGTCTTCCTCTGTTTGTTTTATCTTGTCATCTTTAACAGCATCCATTGTATCAGTCAGTGGTTCGGTGAACATATTTAGCAGGTTGTAAAATATCAAAACTTACAGTTCTCTGTTGGCTCTGATTTTTCTCTGCAGTAAAAGTTCTCGGAGTCACCCTCTCCAGGACAAACTGGCCAACAGTAGGAAATAGGTGGTGGTGCAAGGCGAGGTGGGCTGGAAAAAAAAAATCCCTAAATTTCTCTAATAGAACCAATAGTTCTAAGCTCTCCCTGGTGCAGAAATATGTTTGTCAGTGAAAAACATGTAACATTTCATATGGTGTCTCACCATTTGTATCATCAGGTATGTTGTGAATGCTCATCTTTACTATAGGAATAAATAGATACCAATGTGTGGGGCAAGCAACTAGTAACATGGTTAATAATCATTTAACCTCAGCATTTTTCCAGACTACAACACAACCCCACTTCTTTGGGGGTGGTTGGCTCACTGAAATCCCAAAGTAACCCAATTGTGGTTGCCCAGTTTTAGGTTTTTTTTGCAGTAACTGCAGGACCACCATCCAAATGGATGGTCCTGGGATTATCAAATGCATACTAAGGAAGTGAGACTAGAAAACGTGGCATCAGAGGTTGTACTTCGCACAGGATATATCCAAGTAAACCTGGTACATGCATCAACACATACAAAAACGTATTTATAACCATGAGATGTTGGCAAACTTCTAATATATAGTAATTCAAAAAGTACATTAGGTATTAATATTTCAATAAACAGTACATCAGTAATGTGGCAATAAGCAAATGCTTATGATTACTAAACACATGAATTACAGTATTTCCCATATTGAACCACCAATATTCCTTTTCAGGAGTCAGAAGTACATTACCTCTCTCTATAAGAGCTTGTCCTAGCCATGAAAAAGCTTTTAGGGCAAGTCTATCTTTCCTCTATAGGAAGAACAACCAACATATTACCTTCAATGGTTATTATGTAATTAACCCCTCTAAACGATAGGAGTATGTATGCGGATACTAGGTTGATTATTTCTGGATATCCTTGCAAGCATAAACTCATCATGACTGAGAGATAGGGTATGCTTTTGTGATCCAATGACCACAGAAAAGCGTTGGTAGACACATTGCATCAAAGTGTCTGTTAATGACCAACTACATGAGGAGAGGGACCATGCTTTGTTATAAGCATGTCCATACACGTATTACAATGCCAGGCTTTCATTTTGTTACCACAAAGCAAAATGCAGTTGTGGATATAAACAAACGACGTATCGTAAGAAAAACTGTTTGAACACCAGACTGAGACTCGAGATCAGTGAACAGTGGACCAAAATAGATAAATGAAATCTTATCAATTAATATACTTTCAATATACTTTCTTTAAATTACTTTATCCTCTGTATTATCTATGAAATATTAAAGTTAAAACAATAACATTTAAAAGCCAACTTTTAGTGTGCATAGGAATTACAAGGCCGTTCATAATGTGAGATAAAGAACAGATTTTTTGAAACCGAATAGTCTGTGAACACAAGATGACCTTGCGCTGAAAATTTACTTGCAGGGAAAAAACAACCTTTTTCTTCTTTTTTTTTTCTTTAGTAAATTAATTAGTTAATTAATTAAACATAGTTAGAACCTCCCTCAAAGTCCCGATGACTTTGCAAGAAACATGTCGTCCTTAAATACTGGGTAAGTCTATTAAACAGTGACATAGCATTTTTACACTGTATATCATGTTGTCACAGCTATAATGTGCAGTATAACGAATTATAAGTGTTGTGCAATCTGTTCATTAAAAGCCAGTGATCTAGCGAGCTATAGAACATTTATTTATTCTTTAAAGCTCTGACCTCAATCGGCAAAGCAATATTGTAATGGTGTCCATTGCAATCTGCTGTCTTACTTGCTGCTCTCAAAAATTCTGAATATGTTCAGAGATTTTTGGGCAATAATAAATCCCCAAAAAACAACAACTTTGCATTTATGCTAAACCTGCCTGTTGTAAACACATTCTGTATATTTCTTGTCATAAGTACTTGTACTTAAATCTGTTTAACAAAGCTGTTTATATTGTGGTTGACCTGGGTGAGGTATTCACAGTGGAAGATTGGCATCTACCATTACTAGCATTGAACGGTGTTACTCAATGTATTTCACATTTGGAAACCAATTTGAAATTAATCTACCGGTAGTATTTCTCCCCGTTTAAAATGTTCAGGCTACACCTCTCCACATCTAATTTATGTTGGAGAGGTTGTGGACAGACTAGTACTTTATACCATATATTTTGGTCATGCCCAAAATTAGCTAACTATTGGCAACACGTATTAGAATTTATCTTAACCATCACTGAATTCCCTGTAGACTTAACACCTGGATTATGTTTACTCATACATTTCCCCGACAATCTATCTGCACATAAAAAAATAATGCTAGGCCGCCTCCTTATTTTGGCTACTTCAATTCTACCAAGAAATTGGAAATCAGTTATCATTCCCTCTGTCAAAGATGTTTGACTAGTTTTGTTTGAAAATAAAAGATGCGAGCTTGCTCTCGGGATACCATCTGCAACCAATGTACTACTCAGACATGACTGGTCTGAGTGGGAAAAAGCTATGAGGAGCAAGTATAAGCTTGACATTATTTTCACCTGACCCAATAACTTTTATCATGTATTTGATTTGTTACTCACCGTATATATCACCTACTATTTGACATATATGCAAATATATATATCCTAAAAAAATTTTTTCCATCTATGAATTTCATTTATTTATATTTAATATCATTTTATGGATGTGAAATTCATTCATTTTTTCCCCAGTTTTATTTTTTTGTTTTTATTTTTATATGTTTTTTCTTTGATTCTGATCTTAATTTCGTTACATATCTTATTAGCATGTTCTCGTAAGATCCTTTTTCTTTGTCATGTCAATGTCCACATATTATACTGCTTGCATATTATTGATGTTTTAAAATGTTGACAAATATGTATAATTATTGTTATTTTAATTATTATTTCTTAAAAACAATAAAAAAATTTTTGAAAAGATTATATTGAAAGAGATAAACCTAATCAATAACAGAAATGCTTGACATGTATACAATAATCTAAGAATCCTATAATTTATATTGTTTTCATACTCCTTCCACTGGAGATATATAATAACTAAAATATATGTAAAGAACCCTTAGATTTATTTTCATTAAGTAATCTAGGAGTATTACTTATTTTAAAACATACAATGTAGACTCATCTGTATTGTACTTGGTTTCCAATTTTTCTAAACTTCATCAATATGGAGTTTAATCCTGCAGGACTCGATTACCAATACAATTGGGAGCTTCTTTAGATTGTAGTACATAAAAATGTACATATACTTTTTGGTATAGATCATAATATTTTACTGATGTAAAGTTAGGGCTATCCTTGGTCATGTGTGCAGAATTGCAGTAGTGCCCGATAGTGCAGTCACAATAATAATGTGTATATATTTATTATTTTATGCATGCACTTTTTGTTTCCTAGTGAAGCCAAAGAATTTATGTGAAATTTATCACATAATTGCTTATGTGAACTTACATTTTCAAAATGACATAACTAGTGATTTGTAGTGCCATTCCATTTAGATTTATGTTTATTCCAGGTAGTCTTAGGTATACCTTATTTCCATCTACCTAGATATAAAATTGGTTAATTTATTATTATTAGCAGTTTAATTGAGTTGTTGACACTTTTTAAAAATTTTATTTTATTATGGATTAATTTTTTTTTTCCAAATTAATGAATAAAGTACATAAACCTTTGACATGAAAGTGAATGTGCCAATTCCTTCTTTATTAAGTATTATGGTACAGTTAGTTAAAGTTTCATGTTTAGTTGTCTGTGCAGGTTCTCTTAACAAGTGATTTCAGAAGATTCTGTTTTTTACTTACACAGATCTGAGATGCAAATTGTGATATGTATTGAATTTATGTTATGAAAATGACCTTAAAATGAGTGCATTGATTTTAACACAATAATTCATAACTGAGTAAGTATTCTGAGTATTGATTTTTATTAAACAGAAAAGAAGATAACATTTGTCCAAACACTCTCCTCTTGATTGTCCCTGTGACAAAGTGCACTTCGCCACTTGGTCCTGGAGAGGCCTGCTTGCCATCCTCCTGCCCTGCGACTATGGCCCCTGGGAGATTGTACCCATTTAAACCAGCATTTGGGCTTGTGGACTTTTATTGTACGGTGCTGGCCCTTTAAAAACAGTGTATGGACATATTGAAACTTTTTGGACACTTTTTCTTCCCCTTTGAATTCCTGGGAAGGTTTGGCTCTTCCCCTCCCCCAGCTCCATTGTTCTCCAGCAGGGCATTGTCCCAGGGACACTGCCAGACCAGTGGGAACTGGTTTGGGCAGGAAAAGCCATGCTTGCAAGTGATAACAAAGGACTTCGACCTAACTTTTAAACACCTGAACCTATTCAAGTGAATTTTGGATATGTTTGTCCCCAAGTTATACTGGTTAAAATAATATACGGTTATATAATATTTTATGTATGTACGATGCAAACTCACAAAGTTATAAAAATGTATAAAAAGTGTAACTTTTCAGCTTGGAGTTAATTGAGTAGATACAGTAATTGACTCAATTATCTCCTAAGCAGAGGGGATGAATATGATGGATGTGTTTCTATTGACCCATTGTGTCTGATTGGCTGCTGTACTTGCATTGTATGTGTTATAATGTGTTTATTGGTTGTTCTGAAAAACCCTGTGGGTGGTACTATGTGTGGAAAACCTGCATAAAAGAAGGCCCTTTGGTGCCAAGTAAAACAGTTCTTCTTCACCCTCAATCTAGAGTCCTGTCTCTTATTGGGGGAATTGCTATATCACTACAAGGGATTGCTATGCTCTGCATGCTCCCTTGGATAATCACTTCTAAGCTCTTTTAAGAGCTTGTTCCTGTCTTGCTATCGGAAGGAGTCTACGGTGGTTATGGTGTCGGCTGGAGTGCTTGGAGCACTCAGGAAGTGCTAGGAGCATCCAGTAATGGAGGTACCCAGTCAGGGTCCCAGGTGATCCGTTACAGTCCCCAAAACTAGTCAATTGACTATATACTACAATAGGACCAGTCTTTCATGAAGGTCAGCCTAAAGCAAGATTAAAATAAAATATCACCTCTGAATACTACATGTCAGACTTAGCTGTCCTTGATTCTTTTGTTACAGCTTTTCACTGGTTCCATGATTTTGGCTGTACTTTTTAGCCTGATCTTTTGCTGCCAGTTCTGACCCTTGCATTGTTATACCAATCATAATGTTTCACAGCTTATTCTGATAGGGTTATAAGCATATCTGTTTTCGGTGGGCTTCTGCCTTGGTTGCAGATTTTAAGGAGAAGTGGATATTTGATTTTAGCTTGGATTATTATGATTGATGGATTTTAAGAGTGGAACTTTCATTATTTTGTTAGATAAAATACCTATATCCAAAGCAAGATTTCTAATGCTTATTCACAATTTCCTAGTATATTTGAAACCATTGCTAACATTACCATTACTATCATATTATATCAAATATTTTCAGGTTTATAATCTGAAATGTTACATTGGAATCTGGTTTGTATGGCGACAAATAAAAAATGTGATGTTGCTCTAGATAAAAAAAAAAAAAGAATTACATAAATCAATAAAATGTTTTGTTATTAAATTATTTCCGTTTCTGTTATTTTGTCTGTTTAAAAATGACGATCTATGAGAAAACACATAGAAACAGGCTGTTAGAAAATAAATAATGAAGATCCTTTGTACATGATACTAACAGCTGCTCAGAATGCAAGACATCAATAATTCAGAAGTAAACTGTCATACATTTATAATCAGCTATGAATGCATTCATTATTACAGAACAGTCATGATGTCAGAATTAGATAACTATCCCAACTTAATTATTTGGCATACATAGTAGATATTGTAGAGACTAAGTAAGCTGCTTTCCGCTTTATCAAAATAATGCACACAAATGATAAATAAGAACTCTCCATATATGTTCCGGGCATTGGAAAAATGACAGGTATTTGCTGTAATTCTGGGATACCCTGCAGATGTGAAGAATGGGACTTCATTCTTCACCACACTTTTGTATGGGCCTGAATGATTTCTTTTTTTCATGACTGATCCTTTGCAATTGCCAGGATACAACAACCTTATTGCAAAAAGGTCAGAATCAGAAAAAAACACTATGGTCAGGGTAAAAGCAAAGTAAAAAAAAAAATTGTAAATAGAAAAAAGCCAAGATCATGATTATAGATGAAGGTAGGAAGAATTGAGAAAAGTATTCAGGGGTAATAGAGATACACAGAGTCGTTGAAACTAGCCAAAGTAATAGCAGAAAGTCAGAAACACAATGAAACTGTGCTAATCAGAAACCACAATAGACATTGACAGTACAAGAACCATGGGGCTAGATAAATGAATATGGTTATTGCACTCTGCTCCATGTCAAGACTGCGACCCTGAAAAGTATGATATTGAGATCGCAGGAATGACATGGACTGCCAGGAACTTAAAGTGATGTAGCATGTCTCATTAGTATAAAAAGACTGCACCACAAGCGGTACACTCTCTCATTTGGGGCCAACGTTAGTGGCCCTAGACTGACAGGAGAACTATGAGCAGTGTTCAAATTGAGTACTCTTTAAGTCCCTTTAACTTCCATGGTAGCGTTGTCGCAGTGTTACAAGAACCCTCCAATCTGTTATAGAAGTAACCCCCTTTTGTTCATCTAATACTCTGCTCGGTATCCAGACTGCAGGAACACATTATACGAACAGTTATATCTACACATTGGTGTATACGAACGACGGACCACCCTGTCCTTGGCGTGTGCTGCCACTTAACCCCGGTCACCTTTGAAAGTACTGAACAACCGACCACCTTATGAGTGGAGCATGCCTCTAATTAACCACCAAAGGAGCAGCGGTCTGCGGTTAACCACAGCCTAATTGACGGTCTAAAGGGCATCCACGTTCGTGTACATTTCCCCGAACTAAAAACTACCGAAAGACTCACGAACAAGGGCCACCTACATCCTGGCGTGTGGCCTCAATAAGAATGTTGATTTTGTGGTTAAGTACCCCTTTCCAGGCAGTGTCCATTCGTTTACCGAACGGCTGGGACAACCATACTGAGAGCGGGAGTTCGTGCAAATATGTAGCTGACACTCATTCCATGAGTTTTAGGTCAAGGTCCCGCTGTCCATTGACCGACCTTAAAACATGGCCGTCATCCCGAGTTTGGGATAAAAGCAACAAATGGGACTTTGTATGACAGAAATCATCTGTTCTGTTCTTGGGATCTGAGCGCAATTCGTATAGCAGATTTGAGCTACCGAATGAATAGTCGAACGAGCTGTATTCTCATCAAAATGTTGAAGTTATATATTTTTATGCTGTTTTCTGTGACATGGCATTTTGGGTGCTTGGAGATAACTAGATTGTATAACCGTTGGACTCATTATCTCCAAGCTGGGCAGGTACTATTTTGAAGGATACAGTGTAATGTGATTGGTTGAATCCTTGTGTTGTACCTGTGTTCCATCAGGTCCAGAGGGGGCTATCCCTGGACCTGGGGACTTGCATAAATTGCCATGCCTGTGTGCCATTAAAGCCAGGTCGTTTTACCCTCAACTCGCAGCCTCAACTCATGTTGTAGGGAACCGGGAATCCTAGCCTTACTATAGCTAGTGGGATATTTTACACTTACAGGTTTCTGTTTGAAGCAGCGTTCGACTTTCCGACTTCGGGAACCAGGACATCCAAGCAATCCAACCTACTGCTAGACCGGAGGCAATCGTAACACACAGCAATTTTAAAAATCACTGCCCCCAACCCCAATAGCCTGGCACTGTCCCCTCCTAAGTTTCAGGAATAACCCCAGGGTTTAAAAAGACCATGCCTCCTGCAGCAAGTTAAGTACTCGACTCTGCCAGCAGCCCAGCACGGATCTCTGTGTGAAAAGCTGCAATCACAGAGTACAGAGTGCTCACAGAGCTCTCTGTTCTGTGTGAGCAAGGAAATCCCTCTTCTGATGTCAGTACATTCTGACATTGGCATAGGGACTCTATTGAGAGGTGGCATTAGGGAGTGATTATAGATATGATTATGAGTAGAATTATGGGTAGGATTATGGATTGGATTAGTGGCAGGAAAAGGGACTAGATTATGGGTTGAATTGGAGGTTGGATTATGGGTTGTTAAAGGGTTTTATTTGGGTTGGATTAAAGGTTGAATTAGATGATGGATTAAAGGTTTAATTAGCAGAATTGGATGAAAAGGTATACATGTTTAGTATCAGTGTACTTGACAACAGTAGCAGAATGCAAATATGTAGAGTCTGCAGTAATGGGACACGCATGTCTTTATACATGTGTGGGAAAAAACAAAAATATTTTATCTAGGTTTGTAAAAATAATTAAATAAAAAATGTCAAAATACTCTTAATTACAGCCTGAGGAATGTACTTTCTACAAATATATATATATATATATATATATATATATATATATATATATATATATGTATATATATATATATATTTTTTTTTTTTTATTATATATATATATACAAATTTAAATTTATATATAATTCCTGTCCTAATGTGTTTTACACCCCACCTCCTATAGAATGTAAACTCGATTGAGCAGGGTCCTCTTCAACCTATTGTTCCCATAAGTTTTTTGTAATTGTCCTATTTATAGTTAAATCCCCCTCTCATAATATTGTAAAGCGCTATGGAATCTGTTGGCGCTATATAAATGGCAATAATAATAATAAAATAATATATATTACAATAACTTTTGCCTAGTGTTTTGGGATTCTGTGACTACTATTTTTAATTGAAATCTCAGTATGCCAAATTTTGTAAAGTTTTCACTTTAAAACCAGAATCATTTCCTTGCAGTATTTCTTTTATAAGTTATAACAAATTATTGAAATCCTAGCCACATCTGTCATAATAACAATCAGGACTAATTGGTAAATCTATGTTGAGTTAGTTTTCTTTACTCCCACTTTATATTTTCTTTATATTTTCTTCCTTTTTAATATTGTTTTATGTATACTGTGATCCTTGTCACCAGGTAGCACGGCCCTCTAGGGTAAAAACATGCACAGTCCTTGTAATTGCATATACTCAGGCACTTTATTTGCAAATCCACACAGGATACAGCAGAAAATGAAAAACAAAAGTAACAGAAAACCCTATAAACAAAAACCTGGCTCGTCTGAGCACTAACTGACATTAGGTCCCCTATCTCTCAGGGTTAAACTAAACAAAACAATAGTGGTTTCACCAACCTAGAGTCTTTGTCCACTCTCAGCACTCCAGTATTTAGCCAGCCTGCTGCTTCCAGCCTTTCAGAGAGAAAAAGAACATTCTCCCTTACCTGCCTAGCAGGGAGGGATTTTATTCCCACTTGCTGCAGCTGATTACCTACAGCTGAGCAGTAGGTTGGAGACAGTCCAAAACCCTGGGCTGGATCTAAGTCTTCCAAGAAAACCGCTAAGCTGCGGAGTGGAGCACTGGCCCACCCTGCTCTCCAAATGCTCCACCCCAGGGGCCCATAACTAAACAATGCTTTGTGTAACACACACAAACTACACATACTCCCCCTGGGGTTAAAAATCATATGCCTCTCTGAACAATTCTGTCGAGATATAGACCCCCTCACAGACCACCCCATTCACCTTATCACATATCCCCCTCCCCAGCTCAGACCCATCGGGGCGAGCGGCCTGGGACCATAAACAGTGAACTCGGGAGAGGCCATCCGCATTACCTTGGGCAGTTCCGGCCCTGTGAGCAATAGTAAACTGGTAAGGCTGAAGACTTAGGAACCATCTAGTCACCCTGGCATTCTTTTCTTTGTTATGCCTCATCCATGTTAAAGGAGCATGGTCCGTGATCAGTGTAAAACATCTCCCCAGTAAGTAATATCTCAG